TGTCGCAACCTTTAAAATAAATCTTAACTCGAGTAAAAATGCTCAGAATCGGGTAAAGTCGACTTTTCTGAGCTTTTCTGAAGGTCTACTGTCATATAGAATGATGATGAGATCTTGAAAGACCTAAGGAATTTTGGAAAAACCTATTTTTTTTCGTTTTGGTAGCTTTTTACTTTTTGAGAAATGACTGCGAAAATTTTAAGTGGCCACTATAGAGGCTCGCCAAGGACTACTTGGAGAGGACACTAAAGTGGCCACTAAACCCACCTCTATAGTGGTCAATATTTTCCGTTTTAGTGGCCACTCCAGTAGTTTTTCATTCAGTAACTCTGATGATTTCAAAACAAACAGATTGGACCAGTTATGATGTTCCATTGACCCCTAAAGTGGCCACTAAAATTTTTAGTGGTCTAGTAATAGCACTCAGACTTCTATAGTGGCCACTAATTTCTTAACCTTTTAAGTGGACACTAATCTGACTACTATAGTGGCCACTAAAACATAAAAACCCTATAGTGGTCATTAAAAATTTTCGCAGGAGGGCTGGAAAATTAAAAATGGCCCGATTTCGTCGACTTTTTTGAAAAGCTGAAAGTCTGTAGAATCTTCATCTGGGCATCAAAAGACCATTTTTCTGAAATCACAAGAAAAAAAAAATGACTTTCCTTGTCCCTACCTCTAAGTTGCTACGGCAAGAATATTCCATTTTTTTTTTTTTTCGATTTTGGTTTTTAACTTCATCGAGATAACGATAGGGAGTAGTGAAAAAGCATCAATATCTTTATTTATCAAAAAAAAAATCAAGTTGAAAAAGGACCTGAAGACCCCTATGACGTCACAAATCACAGAAAAAACGACCATTTTTTTTTTCAAAAAATCTCTGTTCACTTTCCTGGGCGTAGCGCGTTCGGTTTGGTCGGTCCTGCGGGCGCTTCTTCTTCGAGCAAGCCTGTGCAAACATCCGAACTGACCGCCTTTCTCGTCTTCTAGAACCACGAGAGCCCTCTTTTTCTCGTCCTTCTTATCATATCTTTGTCGGTTTTCCCAGATTTTGGAGATTTTTGAAAGAGTTACTTTGATCTGAGTGATCACTTTCATGAGCTTTTTTTGAATTTTCGAATCTTGAACCCCCCCCCCCCTCTTGAGACAGATTTCTATTGAAAAAAAGTTAGGTAAAGCTTCAAAAGCTTCAAGAATTTTTAAAACTTGAACCCCCCACTCTTAAAGGCATAGGGGCAGTAAAAAATGATGTTTGAGTTCAAAGCACTACTTTGTAGAGATTTTCCTTGCGAATCGAACGGTAAACTTGAAAACGTACCGAACTTCCTATTTTTGGAGAAAAAATAATTCAAAGTCGGAGAGAGGAACGTTTGAGTTCCCGCAAAAAGGGCACTATGCAGTAAAGTTGCTCTATGGACAACAGGCTTCGCCATTTTCCGGATTTTCGCTTTTTTCTTCGTTTCTTTCAAATTTCAATTTTTTCTGTCGTTATTAAAGTTCTTTTCGTCACAAAAACTTTCTATTCATGTATAGTTTACAACTTTAATCGCAAAAATACGTTTCTGGTGAAAAATGATGATTTTACACAGGTTTCGATGGGGATAGCGATATTTTGTGTTTTCTTTATTATCAATGTGTGTTTTCTGTTTTCTTAATCGACGTTTCAGAGACGAAACCCCTAATTTGAAGCAGATAGCCGGTTATTTCTTACCAAATGCGAGTCTAATGAGACGTCCGCAACATCGCGTGCACGGCTACTGTAAACAGTTGTCCGTAGGCCGATCCAAAGCTTTTTTCAAAAATAAAGGCGGGAAAGTAAAATCGCGTTTTTCTTCTAAAGTTGTCACATCTTTAATTTTTTCGAGTACACCATTCGATTCGCAAAGAAAAACTATATAAGATACTGCTTTTACCTGAAACCCCATTTTTTACTGCCCCTATGCCTTTAAGCTGCGCCCCCTCTCTTGAGACATATTTCTATTGAAAAAAATGTTAGGTTATGCTTCAGAAGGTCCAGTTCAAAATTATTCAACTTGGGAGATCAAATTGGTGAAGTAAATTAGGAAAAATGATCGATTTTTCAAAATTACTATTGTAGTCCTGACAAAAAGATCATTTTACTTTGCGGTTGGGAATTTTTTGAAAATTGGCTGGAACACTCCTTGATGTACCACGAGAAGATTCTGAAAATCTCAACCTGTGAAATTTTCTAGTTTTTGAGAAATAGGGGCTCGAAAGAACCACGAGAGCCCTCTTTTTCTCGTCTTTCTTATCATATCTTTGTCGGTTTTCTCAGATTTTGGATATTTTTGAGAGAGTTACTTTGATCTGAGTGATCAGTTTCATAAGCTTTTCTTGAATTTTTCGAACCTTGAATCACCCCCCTCCTCTTGAGACAGATTTCTATCTCTCAAGTACCCCAAAGTACACGGGGAAACCAATGTCGATTCTGATAGCTGCAGAGAGAATTTTGAGAGAAGATAGAATGAAATCGAGAAAAGCAAAGGACACGACGAGACGGGTTGCGATCAAAACGCGGTGAAATCTCATCAACAAATCGGTTAGATTCACCCTTTTTCCTTCACCTTTCCTCCCTCCCTCGCTGTACGATCTTACCTTTCAGCTATGGAAAGGTTTGGTTGTCCTTTCAGGCTCAGAAAAAAAATCTCTTAAAAAGTTCTAGATCGAAAAGTACCTTTAAAGCTGTTTTTGATGACGCATATGCGCTCCATGGATGAAATGGTCGAAACCCTGACTTTTAGAAAAATTTTCAAATAGATAAAGCTGGGAAGTGCTCCAACATTATTTTTAGAGTTTGAAAATTCAAAACTTCGCTATTTTGAGAAAACATTTATGCTTCTCGTTTGTCATGAAGAAAAAAAGCCTTTTCAAAAAAAATCTTGAGAATAAATAATCGAAAGCTGTTTTTGATGACGCACTTGCGCTCCAAAGGATAAAAACCCTGACTTTTTAATTAAATTTTAGAAAGATACATTTATCTGAACCTCTTTTTTTATGCTTCTTGTTGGCCCTAAAAAAAGCTTTTTTTCAAAAAAATCTTGTGATCGAAAAAAATAACTCTGAAGCTTTTTTTCGATGACGCATTTGCGCTCCATGGATAAAATGATCGAAAATCTGGCTTTCAAGGAACTTTTGGAAAGAAAAATTTATCTGAACCGCTTTTTCATGCTTCTTGTTCGCCCTAAAAAAGCCTTTTCAAAAAAATCTTGAGAAAAAAAAAACTTTGAAGCTTTTTCCGATGACGCATTTTTGCTCCATGTATAAAATGATCGAAAACTCTGACTTTTAAACAAATTTCAAAAAGAAAAAGCTGGGAAATGCTTAGATATGACTTGTAGAGCTTAGGGTTTCAGAATTTTCATATTTTGAGAAAAAAAAAATTGAATCTCCTTTTTTTTCATACTTCTTGTTCGCCCTGAAAAAAAGCCTTTTCAAAAGTCTTGAGAAAAAAAAACTTAAAAGCTTTTTTCGATGAAGCATTTGCGCTCCATGGATAAAAGGATCAAAAACCCTGACTTTCGAAGAACCTTTTAGAGAGAAAATTTTATTTGAACCTCTTTTTTATGCTTTTGGTTGGCCCTGAAGTGAAGCTTTTTTCGATGACACACCTGCGCTCCACGGATAAACGGATCAAAAATCTGACTTTTAAAGAAAATTTTAGAAAGAAAAAGTTGGAAAAATGCTCAGATATAACTTGTAGAGCTTGAGGTTACAGAATTTTGGTGGTTTAAGGAAAAAAAAAGTTCCTTGTACGTTTTTTAATTGATTTCGAAGATTCACCTTTTCGTAACCTTTCCTTGCTATAAGATCTTTGAACCTTCCTAAATCTTATTTGAAGGAGAAAGCTGTTTTTGAAAACCTATTGCGCTCTAAAGTTAAAATTGGAAAGGGAAATTTTTTCGAGTAAATATTCTCCTAACATGAGCAACATTCCCAAGCCTCATTATCAGTACAAAAAAGCAAATACCGATGAATAATCATGATAAGAACCCACGCCTTTTTGACAGTTACTAAAGAAGAAAAATAGGGTTTTTTTTGTTCTGCAGGGTTTGATCAGCCCGACCGATCGGTATTTTCTCACTTTTTGACCCCTCCGTCGGCGCTTTTCATCTTGGGTTTCGGTTTTTTGGGTTTCATGGGAAAGTTAAAAGGCTGTAATTTTTTTTTTTTGACTTGAAAATGGTCACATAAAACTGTAGTTTTTGGACATTTTGAAAATGAAGCTTTATCTTTTTTATCTTTTTCCAGTTTTATTCTTTCAGATAAAGATGTAACTTTGAGTGATATTTAATTGAAAAATTGTTAAAAAATTCCTCGAATACCTACAAGGCAAGGCCTCCACTGCAGAGGAACTTCCATACTAGAAAAATATCAGTTGGTGCAGTTTTTTACGCTTTTTCCGAATATCTGATAGAATAAAGCTAAATGATTTCCTTGTGACCAATCAAAAAATCAAAAATCAAATCTTGAGGCCATTTTCCGATTGTATGTGAAGCCCTGTCCACAGAAAATCAAATATTTTGTAACTCTGAAAAAAATTTTCAGTTGAGATCTAATTTTTCAAAGTGACCCTTCTATCATTGACTCGATTTACCCATTTTTGGTTCATTTTCGAAGTTTCAAGCTTCTATAACTTTTTTTCTAAGCTCCCAAGACGTTTTTAAAGCACATTTTCGAAATCAGCGTGAAAAGATGGATCTAGTGAGCTTGGACAAACCTCAATTTCACTTGAAAAGGCTCCAAAATTCCTTATTTTTCTGTCCGGTTTCATGAATTTCAGCCCTTTTCCTTCTTACAACTGCTCCCGACTGTGTTATAAGATGTTAAAAAGCGCAAGTAGTTTTTGGTCGGGCGCGCTGGACCACTTGTATGCTTGAAAATTGACACTACACTCATCGTTTTTCATTTAACAAGCTGTTTTTCGATTGAAACCTTGCTCCATCGAACAATCATCATAATTTTTATCATTTCCAGGCAACATGGGGTCGTTAACGCGCTCCGAGGAGATGCGTTACTGCCAGATGATCGTCGAGAAGGACGCCGCCTTCAATATCGTCGCCGAGCTCGGAAAGAAGCCCTACGTTCAGTTCAAAGATGTCGGTTACTTGTATTTTGATCCTGCTCTCAAAAATAGGCTTTAAGGGAGGATTTTAAGGATTTTTAAGCTTGAAGAAGTGCTGAAAGGAGGGGAAAAGCTTTGTCAACCTAAAGAAACAGATTCGCTATCAAAACGGTAGACGTTTTTTGGGTTTTTCATAGCTTTCCATACGCTCTCCAGCCTCCCAGATACATTGGAAAAAAAAATCCGAGAAGCCTCCATTTTTTTTTTTGAAATGTACTTTATGTTTTTTTGGAAAAAAAGGGATAGAAATCCGATAAAAAATAAATTTTTCTCAGATTTTTTGTAGTTGAAGAAGATGATCTAAAGAAATTTTACTGGTTCTAAAATCCTTGAAACAATTTTAGAATTGTCCAGGTGAAGCATACATTTTTTTCATTTTAAAGCCTGTAAAGGGTCTTGGACCATATGAAAGGCGAGACAATATGAAACTGAGTTCAAAAAAAAATGGTATGAAAACGAATTTTCAGCTCAACCCAGACGTCAACAGCTTCCAAAGGATGTTCGTCCGCGATATTCGACGTTATGACGAGTTGGAGCGCAAATTAAGTCAGTTTCTTTCAAAAATTTGGATAAATCATGGTTTGGTCGCATGGAGAATGGCTCGAAGTTGCGCCCGACTGTGAAGAGTAATAACTTATCGCTAAGCGGACATGCTCCGGACGCTTCTGGGCATTTCTAGTGACCACTTTAGGAGCGCCAGCACTCTTAAGTGACTCCTAGAATTACTCCTTTTTTGATTCTCAAACAGACCGCAGCTCATTGAGCCGCTCTACATGTGAAAAATATTTATATTGATTTTTTTTTCAGGATTCCTGGAATCGCAGATCGTCAAGGACAACATCCCGATTGTCGGCAAAATTGACGACGGCGACTACAAAGTCCTGCCCAACTCCGAACTGAATCAACTCGAGGTAGGGCTGGATACTGTAGCTGAAAATTAGCTGTGTTTTGAAGGCTTGTAGTGAAAATGAGGATAATTGAATCAGTTTCTAGTAGTCAAATCATCAATATTATCAAAACTTTCGTGTAAAATAAAAATTTCGTTGCGGTAATGATGGTTAGCAATTTTTCGATTTACTGTAGCTTACTGTAGTTCTGAAAATCTAATTACAACTTCAAAGTGGGTACTGTAGTTATACTGTAGTAAAGGTATTACGGTTCTCAAAACTACCGTGAAAAAATATGCTTGCCTTGCAGTAGCTAGGAATTTATCAGGTTACTGTAGCTTACTGTAGTTCTGAAAATCTAATTATAACTCCAAAGTAGTTACTGTAGGGATACTGTAGTAAAGGTATTACGGTTCTCAAAACTACCGTGAAAAAATATGCTTGCCTTGCAGTAGCTAGGAATTTATCAGGTTACTGTAGCTTACTGTAGTTCTGAAAATCTAATTATAACTCCAAAGTAGTTACTGTAGGGATACTGTAGTGAAGGTATCAGGGTTCTCAAAGCTTCCGTGAAAATTTAAGCTTGCGATTCAGTAGCTAGCATTGTATGAGGTTACTGCAGCTTACTGTAGTTCTGAAACGCGAGTTTTTACTCCAAATTAGTTACTTTAGGGATACTGTAGTGAAGGTATTAGGGTTCTCAAAGCTTCCGTGAAAATTTAAGCTTGCGATGCAGTAGCTAGCAATGTATCAGGTTACTGTAGCTTACTGTAGTTCTGAAACGCGAGTTTTTACTCCAAATTAGTTACTTTAGGGATACTGTAGTGAAGGTATTAGGGTTCTCAAAGCTTCCGTGAAAATTTAAGCTTGCGATGCAGTAGCTAGCAATGTATCAGGTTACTGTAGCTTACTGTAGTTCTAAAACGCGAGTTTTTACTCCAAATTAGTTACTGTAGGGATGCGGTACCTATAATTCGAGAACAGGTTTTTAAAATACGAGCTATATGCCCCTTTTTCATTACTGTGGGATAAGTGACGTCACTGGGGTACTGTAGCTGGGATTAGGGCTTCTACAGTACTTCTACAGTATGATATAAGTAGTTTTGACGTTAAAGGGGTCTGTAGTCTGTTTGAAAGGGATAAGGTAGCATGCGTTAATGATAGTTAGCAATTTATCAAGTTACTGTAGCTTACTGTAGTTCTGAAAATCTATCTATTACTCGAAAGTAGTTACTGTAGGGATACGGTATCAAAAGTTTGAGAAAAAGATCCAAAAAAGACGAGTTTTATGTCCCGATATGATGCCAGTGTGATCAGGGATGTTACTGTGGTACTGTAGCTTTTTATGAGACTCCTACCGTATTGCTACAGTAGGAACAGATAAGAAAGAAACTCACAAATGGTCTTTAGTTTGTTGGAAAAGAGATAAGGTATCAAAAAGCCTTTAGATCTGAGTTACTGTAGCTTTTTAATACGGTACTTTTAAGCCTACAGTATAAAAAATAATTCCAGGCGACGCTGACGGATCTGGAGCGTGACGTCAAGAACATGAACGACTCGGACGCCCAGCTGAAGGCCAACTTCATGGATCTGAAAGAGTGGGACGCCGTTCTCGACAAGACCGACGAGTTCTTCCAGGGTGTACGTCTTCAAGGAATTCTAGAATCTCCTAGTCCATTCCAACTTCTAGTCTGTGAAAAAAAAGCTGGAGTTTCTACAGAGATTCTTAAAGGATACCTAGGGTCTTAAAACTGTTTCTGAAAGGTCTGAAAGAGCATGAAGAATGCCTAGAAGAGACAAGCGACATTTTTCGCTTCGAGACCTTTGTCCATGCGCCTTTAATACTCTGAAAGAAAATCTAGAAAGACTATAAGTTGGAATGGCTTAAAAAAGGGCCTTTACAGGGCGTTGACGACCTGGCTCAAGAAGAGTTTGATGTGCAGGAGGAGGGCGAGATCGTCGCCAAAGTCGACAAGGCGCCAGTCAAGTGCGTTGATTTTCTTTATCTATTTTTAGAAGTTGGGATTCAGGAGAAGGTTTTTCCAAGTTAGGCTAGAATTTCTCTGTCCAGTATGATTATTTTGAAAAAAATTTTTGAGTTCCAGGGAAGTTAGAACTTCTTGTGCTTGCTAGGAAAAGCTCTAGTGAACCCTTAAGTGGCTCCTCAAGGGCTACTTGGAGAGGAAGCCCCTGTATAAGTTACTTTTATGAGTGTCAGTGGTCACTATAGTAGCGATAAGTGGTCTAGTAGCACCCCTTGGACTTCTCAAAAAGCCCCTTAAGGGGTCACTAATTCTACTACTAGAGTGGCCACTAAAACAACCTCTGTAGAAGTCAATATTATGCAGGTTAGTGGCCACTATAGTAGCGATAAGTGGTCTGGTAGCACCCCTTAGACTTCTAAAGGGGCCACTTAAGTGCTAACTAATTCTACTACTATAGAGGCCACTACAATTACCTCTACAGAAGTCACTACCATTTGTGTCAGTGCTCACTATAGTAGCGATGAGTGGTCTAGTAGCACCCCTTGGACTTCTCAAGAGGACACTTAAGTGGTCACTAATACGACTACTATAATAGGGACCACTGAAACTTCAAAAACCTTAAGTGGTCCCTGAAATTCTGTAACTGCATTTAGAAACAAAACTGAATTTTAATTTTGAGGTTCAGTAGTTCAAATCGATCTTAACCAGAAATTTTTCAATTTTGCGACTTTCGAAACTTTTTCGTAATGATTAGTGAGCCATGGACGACGAATATTCCCTCATTTTCAAACAAAAATTTACATTTTAAGGTTTAAGATTAGTTATTTTTCTCTGCCGGAGGGTTAAGAAAAGTTTTTCAGTCTTATTAGGCCAAACTAAGCTTCTGGACAACTCCTGGACTTCAGAGAAGCTTCCAAAAGTCATTTTTCCAGCTACCTGGTCGGAATCATCCGCCGGGAGCAGCTCAACGGCTTCGAAAGGGTTCTCTGGCGTGCCTGCCATCATACCGCCTACCTCAGAAGTGCTGATGTCGCTGAACCCTTGGAAGATGCCAATGTAACTGAAGCCGTCAAAAAAATCAAGCTGAATGATGTTTCAGGGCGAGAAAGTCCACAAGGCGGCGTTCATCGTCTTCCTCAAGGGCGACCGGATGAGAACCATCGTCGAGAAGGTCTGCGACGGCTTCAAGGCCAGGCTCTTCAAGAACTGCCCCAAGACGTTCAAGGCAAGGAGATGAGCCAAGAACATTGAGAAGATTGGGGATTCAGGAACGCCAGTCGGCGAGGAACGACGTCCGCGCCAGGATTCAGGACCTTCAGACGGTCATCGGACAGACGAGGGAACATCGTTACAGGGTCCTTCAAGCCGCCGCGAACAACCACAATCAGTGGCTGAAGCAGGTATGAAAATGGCTTTCGCGAAAAACGGATAAAACGAGTTTCGAAGTGGTCACTTAAGAGTACTAAGGCCGCTTCAGAAGTTTCTGCACCTTCCAAGTGGCCACTTGAGAGGGCTGGAACCGCTTAGGACGTTTCTGCCCATCTCAAGTAGTCACTTAAGAATGCTGCAGTCGCTTAACCTTCTCTGGACATTTCTGAACATTTCAAGTAGTCCCTTAAGAGGGCTGAAGCCGCTTCGAAGGTGTCTGCGCCTTCCAAGTAGTCACTTGAGAGTTCTGAAGCCGCTGAAGTTGATTTGGACGTTTTTGAACTTTCCAAGTAGTCACTTATGAATTCTGAAGCTGCTTCGGACGTTTCTGAGAATCCTAAGTACTCACTTAAGAGTGCTGAAGCCGCTTCGGACGTTCCTGCACCTTCCAAGCAGTCACTTGAGAGTGCTGAAGCCGCAAAACTGCTTCGGACGTTTCCGAGCATTCCAAGTAGTCACTTAAGAGCTCTGACGCCGCTAAACCCTCTTTGGACGTTTCTGAACTTTCCAAGCAGTCACTTGAGAGTTCTGAAGCCGTTCAAGCTGATTTGGACGTTTTTGAACTTTCCAAGTGGTCCCTTAAGAGTTCCGAGTCCGCTGAAGCCGCTTCGGACGTTTCTGAACTTTCCAAGTAGTCACTCAAGGTCTGCTAACCGCTCCGAAATAGTTCAAATTCTGGCGTTTCTGTTTCAAAATTAGCCATAGGGCGCACTTGAACGGTATTCGAGTGGTTTTATAACAATTTTAAAGAAAAATAATAAGAAAATCAGAGTTTTGGTGAGAAAATCTTGTTTTGAAGATCATAAAAAGTACATTATTGTGAAGATAACGACTTTCAGATTTTTTTTAAACGTTATACAGTACTGGCCATAAAGGTATTTCAAAGTGGTTATTCGAGCATAACTTCTCTGAAAGTGGCTCAAATGACTTGAAACTTTGCGAAAATTTCAAATAGCTACGCAGTAACTTTTTCCCCAAAAAAAGAACTTATTTGCTCGAGTCAGACCGGATTTGGGAGCAAAAAAACCAAAAAAATCGTGAAAAATCAAGATTTTTTTCTCTTGAGATTCGAAAAAAATCATATCTTCAAAGAAACTTCGTTTTCGAACCAGAAACTTTTTTTCCCCAGTAAAACAAGTCTTCGGCTTTCCAAAAAAACCTAATCAGCCCCTCACCAACCCGATAGTAAGAGCGTAGTGACTTTTTTCTTCGGAAGGCCCTTGCGTTTTGACGCCTCCTCATTCAAATGGTCTATACAAGGGCATTTTTTTGTTTGAGAACACCCTGTATCATGTTGAAAAAAACTTTGAAACACCCTCAAAAAAATAGTTCAACACTGATTTCTTCAGCTTTCTCACTTTCTCTGCTCTCCAGAACTCACTAACTTTACTAGGACCGATTTTTGAAATCTCTGATTTGAAGCGGTTATGCTCCTTTTTTTAAAATCAGAAAATTCTCGATTTCTCCATTCAGATTTCAGAGCTTTTTTAGAACCTTGATGAATGAAAATAAAAAGAAGACCCACTGTGTTTTTGCTTACCTATTCAAAAGATACAGTGAGTTTTACTGAGTTTCTTAAAGTTCTCAAAACTTCGCTTCAGCAAGTGTTGCTTAGAGGGCTCCAAATCTTGTGGAAGATGATAAAAAAACCCCTTTTTTTCATATTTTTAAAATGTTTTTAGATCATGAGATAAATTTGTAACTCCTCTTTCTAGCTCTCAAATCAAAGATAGGCACTGTATAAAGTTTCTTTAAATTTTTATGTGAAAATAAGTTTTTTTGATCTTGTGAAACTAATGCTTTTAGCAAAAAATTAGCAGTCTTCAGGAACTAAGAGCCTGCAATTTAGCCAATATTTATTTTCAAATTCACGATTGAAAAGCGATTGTTCAGATATAAACTACTTTGAACGCCCGAAAGTTCAAAAAAACTGTTCAAATCAGAGGTTTCAAAATCGGTCCTAGTAAAGCTAGTGAGTTCTGGAAAGCAGATAAAGATTCGAAAAATCATATCTTCAAAGAAACTTCGTTTTCGAACCAGAAACTTTTTTCCCCAGTAAAACAAGTCTTCGGCTTTCCAAAAAACCTAATCAGCCCCTCACCAACCCGATAGTAAGAGCGTAGTGACTTTTTCTTCGGAAGGCCTTTCCGTTTTAACGCCTCGTCATTCAAATGGTCTATACAAGGGCATTTTTGTTTGAGAACACCCTGTATCATGTTGAAAAAAACTTTGAAAAAAACCTTCAAAAATAGTTTAACACTGATTTCTTCAGCTTTCTCACTTTATCTGCTTTCCAGAACTCACTAGCTTTACTAGGACCGATTTTTGAAACCTCTGATTTGAACAGTTTTTTTGAACTTTCGGGCGTTCAAAGTAGTTTATATCTGAACAATCGCTTTTTCAATCGTGAATTTGAAAATAAATATTGGCTAAATTGCAGGCTCTTAGTTCCTGAAGACTGCTAATTTTTTTGCTAAAAGCATTAGTTTCACAAGATCAAAAAAACTTATTTTTCACATAAAATTTAAAGAAACTTTATACAGTGCCTATCTTTGATTTGAGAGCTAGAAAGAGGAGTTACAAATTTATCTCATGATCTAAAAACATTTTTAAAATATGAAAAAGGGGTTTTTTTATCATCTTCCACAAGATTTGGAGCCCTCTAAGCAACACTTGCTGAAGCGAAGTTTTGAGAACTTTAAGAAACTCAGTAAAACTCACTGTATCTTTTTGAATAGGTAAGCAAAAACACAGTGGGTCTTCTTTTATTTTCATTCATCAAGGTTCTAAAAAAAGCTCTGAAATCTGAATGGAGAAATCGAGAATTTTTCTGATTTTAAAAAAGGAGCATAACCGCTTCAAATCAGAGATTTCAAAATCGGTCCTAGTAAAGTTAGTGAGTTCTGGAGAGCAGAGAAAGTGAGAAAGCTGAAGAAATCAGTGTTGAACTATTTTTGAGGGTGTTTCAAAGTTTTTCAACATGATACAGGGTGTTCTCAAACAAAAATGCCCTTGTATAGACCATTTGAATGAGGAGCGTCAAAACGCAAGGGCCTTCCGAAGAAAAAGTCACTACGCTCTTACTATCGGGTTGGTGAGGGGCTGATTAGGTTTTTTGGAAAGCCGAAGACTTGTTTTACTGGGGAAAAAAAGTTTCTGGTTCGAAAACGAAGTTTCTTTTGAAGATATGATTTTTTTCGAATCTCAAGAGAAAAAAATCTTGATTTTTCACGATTTTTTTGGTTTTTTTGCTCCCAAATCCGGTCTGACTTGAGCAAATAAGTTCTTTTTTTCGGGAAAAAGTTACTGCGTAGCTATTTGAAATTTTCGCAAAGTTTCAAGTCATTTGAGCCACTTTCAGAGAAGTTATGCTCGAATAACCACTTTGAAATACCTTTATGGCCAGTACTGTAAATTAACATTTTTCCTAAATTTTAAATTTGAAACCTTATTTTTCTCCAAATAGAGCTGCTTAACGAGTTGAGCCATTGAAAAAAGGTCCTGACACGATTTGAAAAAAAATAGACAGTGCTTAATTGGTGGAGAGCGCAGACAAGCCCTTAGTCGTGAAAACTGATTTTTTAGGTCCGCATGCAAAAGACGGTCTACCATCACCTGAACCTCTTCACGTTCGATGGAATCGGCCGATTTTTCGTCGCCGAATGTTGGATCCCACTGAAACACATCGATGATGTCCGACGGGCCATTGAAACTGGAGCTGTTCGTTTTGAAAACACCTTCTTTCAAATGATTCCAACTCCTAGGAGCGCTCGGGAGCCAGCGTGAAGCCGGTGCTGAACATCCTGGAGACGTCGGTCGAGCCGCCGACCTACAACGAGACCAACAAGTTCACCGCCGTCTTCCAAGGGATCGTCGATTCGTACGGAATCGCGACGTATCGAGAACTCAACCCGGCGCCCTACACCATCATCTCGTTCCCGTTCTTGTTCTCCTGCATGTTCGGAGACCTGGGCCACGGCGTCGTCATGTTCATGTCCGGACTCTGGATGGTCCTCAGGGAGAAGGCCCTCATCGCCAGGAACATCAAGGATGAGGTTATTGTACTTTCCGATCTCGTCGAACAACTTTTTCCAGATCTTCGGCATGTTCTTCGGCGGCCGGTACATCATCCTGTTGATGGGTCTGTTCTCAATTCACGCTGGGATCATCTACAACGACATGTTCGCCAAGTCGTTCAACATCTTCGGCTCGTCCTGGAAGAATCCATACTCTCACGACTCCATCGCGACTTGGCTGAACCAAAGCACCCACGGCAAGGAGATGCTCCTGGAGGTGAGCTGAACTCGTTGAACTTGGCCTGAAACCAAAAATTGTTCAGCTACCGCCCGAAATCGCCTACCAACACAGCATGGGCCCGTATCCGTTCGGCGTCGACCCCATCTGGAACATCGCCGACAACAAACTGAACTTCTTGAACTCGATGAAGATGAAGCTGTCGGTGATCATCGGCATCACTCAGATGACCTTCGGTGTCATCCTCAGCTTCTTCAATCATAGGTTTCCAGAAAAATGGAGCCTTTTTGTACATGATCTTCAAGGTTCTTCAAATCGAATATCGACATCTACACCGTTTTCATCCCCCAAATACTCTTCATGGCTTGCATTTTCATGTACCTTTGCTTACAGGTGCGTTTTCTGAGGCTACTGTATTTTTGAAGTCTGCAAATTAGCGGGAAGGTGTGTGCCTTTCTTCATTGAAAGTGCGCAACAGTCTTCTTTGATTTTTGTAAAACAAAACTCTTACGGAAAAAAACTTACTTTTTTTGAAAAAAAGGTGTAAAAAAATACAATTTTCAGAGATTTTTTTGTAATAGGTGGGGTTTTATTTCCTTCGTGACTCTTTGAATCCAAGTTTTATCAATTTCGTAATAACTTTTAGAGTTTACCGAGAAGTCTTCTAACAGTTTTTATAATTTTTCCAAAGTTTTTTTCTGATTCTTTTTGAAACGTATTCTGTCCTTCATTTTTAAAGAGTTCAATTTTTCTCGATATTAGGACAGATAATGATTTTTAAGCTCATTGAAATTAACCCAATTCGAATTTCAGTTCTTTCAAACTATTTTCCAAAGTTTCCGGCTTTGAAAAAGAAATAAAATAAAATGTAAAGCTACTGTATTTGCCGGTTCCGTGAAAGTACGTACCCGTGTGAATTGTGTTTTTTTGGAAAAAGTTTCGGAAATTCATTTTTGTTTTTGTTTTTTTGATGTATTCAACAACGTATAACTATTTTTTTGAATAACTGTACAATTTAGTTGATAGTTTTTCTTGGAACGTTTCCTATAATTTTTTTATAAAAAAATCAATTTTTTTCTAATTTTTTTGCGTAACTTTTTTTAGACCAATTTTTTTCAAAAAAAGTTGCATGAAAAATTTTTTTAAACTTTCGGTTTATCTATAAAAAGAAGACATTTTTTTGCATTATCGATTTTTTTCCAGGGTTTTCTTCGAAAATTTTTTTAATTTTTGAATGTTAAAAAAATATTTTTAAAAAAAGTAAAATTTAAAAATGGAGTTCTATTTTTTTCAGAAATTTTTTTCTCATTTTTTTCTCTTGTTCCCGCTGTCAATGAAGCTATAGCCAGTTTGGAAAGCTGAAAAGATTTTTGTATAAAAAAATGCTTTGAAATTAGATTTTTTTATAATTGTATCGCGAAAATTGTATTCTTTTTCGCGCTTTTTTTATTTTTGAAATTTCCATTTTGCGACAAACTCTTCATTTTATCGTCAGTTTTACATTAAAGAATGGAGAAAAAGTCTGGTAATTCTGAATGTTTCAGATCATCCTTAAATGGATCTTCTTCTGGACCGTCGAAGACACCATTTTCGGCCTCACTTATCCTGGCTCCCATTGCGCTCCATCTCTCTTGGTTTCTAGATAATTCTTCGAAGATTTATCGATAAAATGTCAATTTTAGATTGGCCTCATCAACATGTTCATGATGAAAGACCGAGCCGTTGGATTCGTCGATGAATCGGTAGTTTTTAAAAGTTATTTTTCTGAAGACACTGAATTTTTTTCAGGCTGGTAAGGTGAATGGAATGTGGAAGGAGGTTGACACTTGCTACCTGAGCCAGTGGTATCCGGGACAGGTGAATAATTGTGTAAAATGGCCGAAATTCATTTGAACAGTCTATTTTCAGTGAAAAATTTGAATAGCATTGCAGAAAATTTTTTTTTCAGATTTTGATACATTTTATGCGTTATGAAATCAAATTGCTTGAAGAACTTGACAAAAAAAACCAGAACTTTTCATTTTTTTTGTTCAAATTACTTAGGAACTCCAGAGTGGCCACTATAGGGGCGACATTGAAGGCCTTGAGGTGCACCACCAGGGACCAATTTACCAACCACTATAGGGGGTACTGAAGCTTGCAAAAGTGGTCCCTATAGGGGACAGGCTAGTCGATCATTTTTATGAACTCGAAGAAGCATTCTCATGAGAAAACTGAGAAATTTTGAATGAAATTGAACGACCCCTATAGGGGCCATTTGAGCTTTAGGAGCCACGAAGTCACATCCTAAACCCCTATAGGGACCACCTTGATTTTACCCCTATAGAGACCGCTTTTTCGGTCCTTAAAGGGGCTTTTTTCTCCCTTACTCCTATAGGGATCACTCTTTAATTCCTAAGTATGATCCGAGTTACACATCTTCAAAAAGAAAATGCAGAATTTTTCAGTTTTTCCAAACTTTGGTTTGAATTTTCCAAAGTTACAATATCAGTCTTTTGTTGACAAATTTGAAGATGATAAGTTTTTTGATTTTGATTTAAAAAAGCAAGTAATTTGTTAAAAACTGATTTCAGAGCATCGTCGAGATGGTTCTTGTCGTCGTCGCCGTTTTGTGCATTCCGATCATGTTGGCCGGAAAACCACTGCACCATTGGCTTCAGGAACGCAAAAAGAAGAAGGAGCTTCATGGAAACCATGTACGGATCAAAATAATTTGTTATGTGTAGCGAAATAACATGTGAAAATTGAGAAATGGGTGAAAATCCCTGATTTCAGCTCATTTTTTCAGGAAAAAAGGGTTATTTTTTGAAAATTTCAGGCTTTGAACAAGCTTTTCGATAGATTCAGATTAAAGCTCGTAGACAATTTCGAGATCTTCTCGAAAAAAAAAAACAAAACAAATTCCAGACGGTCCGCGCCAACGTCGTCGCCGACAACTCGGAAATCGTCCTGAACGGCGGCGCCAAAAAGTCGGAAAACCACGAGTCCGCTGCACCTGCCAGTGGAGGATCTGGTGGTGGCCATCACGGTGAAGAAGTACGGCTATTTTTAACGTCATCAGTTGAAATTGAAATGTTTGAAGGCTCTCGGCGACGTCATCGTCCATCAGGCCATTCACACGATTGAGTACGTCCTCGGATGCGTTTCTCACACCGCCTCGTACCTCCGTCTTTGGGCGCTCTCTCTTGCCCATGCTCGTACGTTTGTTTTATGTTTAGCTTGAAAAAAAATGTATTTATTTTGTATCTAAATTGCTCAAAATTGTCTATTCAGGCTTTTTGACGCGATTCTGAATGTGTAAAAACTTTCGAAAAAAGCAAAAAGCCAATCTATTAGACATTTGGCGGCATTTACCATGTGCCAGAGCCCCTAGGACTCGTCTTGGAAGCGTGGCGCAGTTGGTAAACATGTAGATTACAAAGTAAAGGTTGATGGTTCGGATCCTCAGGACGGAAAACTTTTTTTGCAGATTTTTGAAAACGTTTTTCCATCATTTTTGAAGAGGAAATAGTACATATATTGATTTTAATAATTGAAAACGTGTCTTCAAGCTGTTTTAACGCGATTTTGACTGTTTAAAAATTTCCATTAGGCAAAAAGCCGTTCTGTTAGACATTTGACAGCATGTACCATGCGCTAAAGCTTAAAAGCTTCTCTTAGACGTGTGGATCAGTTGGTAGACCCTCTGATTACAATGTGAGGGTCGAAGGTTCGGATCCTCAAGGCCGCAAACTTTTTTTGCTAATTTGGAAGTGTTAAAAGTGTTTTTTTTTCATTATTTTTTCTGTGGATGGAAAGGAGGAAAATGAGATTTGGCCATTTTATCGGTGTTAACAACGAACTTCCTGATAATACCTCCTGATAATTATAAATAGGGGAAAAAAGTTGTGCGAGATCCACCATGGAAGCCAGTGCGAAATGAATAAAAACGACTTCTTGGCGAAATTCGTGAAACATAGGTTCATAGGCAGAGGCTTGTAGGTTCAATTCCACTCTGCGTTTTTGCAACAAAAAAACCAACGCATTAAGATAAATCAGAACAAAGAGCATGAGCAGAGGCTTGCAGTAGTGTGCAGCTACTCTTTTTCCAGGATTTTCCATCAGAAAACTTAGAACTCTGGAACATTTTTCTTGTTCCAGAACTCTCCGAAGTCCTGTGGCACATGGTGTTCGTCAGCGGAGGTCTTTCCATGAACGGGACCGTCGGTTTCATCGCCACCTTCGTCGTCTTCTTCTTCTTCTTCTTCCTGACCGTCTCGATCCTCGTCCTCATGGAAGGTCTCTCGGCGTTCCTGCACGCTCTCCGTCTCCACTGGTAGCTCTATCTCTCGCAGAAAGACACCAAAATGACGTGTTGTTCAGGGTCGAGTTCCAGTCGAAGTTCTACCTGGGCCTAGGATACGCCTTCGTGCCGTTCTCCTTCAAAGAAGCCCTCAGCCAGGCCGAAGCTTCGAGCCAAGCCGCCTCATCTTAGGCTTCCAGAAACTATTCTTAGAATTCCTAGAATTTTCTTGCCCCCACTTCTCATCACATTCCAGTTTCTTGTAATTCAGTTCTAACACATATATTTGACAACATTCCATGGCCCCAGATTCTCCAAGGAGAATCCTACTAACTTCCCTTTAAGTGAATAACTAGCATAATTCCCTCCGGTGCTGAGCCTGACAAATAGATAGCAAAAAAGCCTATTGATTGTGTGTTTTGAAGAACCCTCGGTGAACACTTCTCACATTTAGTATTTCTCATTTTTATCATGTTGTGATGCGACAAGAGAATAAAGGTTTGTAGTTTGAACATTTCATTTTTTCGCTTGAATCGTTCGATTCTGAAAAAGATAATTTCTCAGCTTTTTCTTTGTAAAGTTGACAATTTCATCAGTCGATACAGCGTCTGGAGACGCATCCATTGATATATCTCAATCTCTGATAACTCATCACAACATCGTTTTGTGGGCTGCAGCAAGTCTGAAATCTTGGATGGAACTCAATGATATGATAAGCTATATCATTGGAAAGCTTACGATGAGACGAATCGATTGATATAACAAGAAAAGCTGTAGCTGCTCTGAAAGCCGAGATATAGGCGTTTGAAGTTCACTATTAAAACTCCGATAGGCGTCAGATAAAATGCATTTGGTGGGCTGCACCGCGGTGTACTTTTCTAGCGAAAAAGCAGAAGCTCAAAAAAAAGTTAGTTTTTTTCAAGATTTTTCTAGTGTAATCGATAGAGCAGCTTCTATATAGTAGTGTTATCATATCAGATTGAAGGAAAAAGCTCAAAAATCGAGTGAAAAACGGGCCCGAAAAAGTATTTTTTCCAGACTTTGAAGCTCCATAACTTTGCTCAATTGAAAGATACAAAAGAACTGAGTATATTAATCGATTTGTCTCATTGTCAGCTTTCGAATGATATGAGGCTTCAAGAGTTTCGATCAACCTGAATGACGTCATAGAATTTCGAAACATAAATCTCAGCTTCTTCGGCGAGCAAATAAAAAAGATAATTGATTGAAAAAGCATTTTGAAACGAATCTGATGATGTTTCTCAACTCTTGATAGCTTATCACAAAATCGAGTTATGAGCTGAGACAAGTCTGAAGCTTCTGGATGAAGCTCAATCCTTTGATGTCCTACGCCATTGGAAAGCTAACGGTGAGACGAATCGATTGATATAACAAGATAAGCTGTAGCTGCTCTGGGAGCCGAGATATAAGCCTTCGAAATTTCACAGAAAAATTTCGATAGGCGTCAGATAAAATGCATTTGGTGGGCTGCACCGCGGTGTACTTTTCTAGTGAAAAAGCAGAAGCTCAAAAAAAAGTTAGTTTTTTTCAAGATTTTTCTAGTGTAATCGATAGAGCAGCTTCTATATAGTAGTGTTATCATATCAGATTGAAGGAAAAGCTCGAAAATCGGGTTAAAAAATGGGTCCAAAAAGTCGCATTTTATAGAGTTTGAAGCTCCATATCTTTGTTCATTTTAAAGTTTGAGAGAAACTTAATATATCAATCGATTTGTCTCATTATGTGCTTCTCAATGATCAAAGTCTTCGATAGTTTTGAGCACTTTTGATGAAAGTGAAAAACTTCAAAAAACCATAACTTTTTTTGTAGGTGCCCAAGGACGTTTTGACCTAGATTTTCCGGTTTCTGACGTCATTTACTATCGATTGAAGTGAAAATCTCGGAAACTTTGGTATTCGGGAAAATCGAAAAAAGTACAGTCTAACCCCTAACGTTTTTTTCGAGCTTCTGAGGTCATGGTAGCTGATCTGGACAAAACTTACATCAGTCGATAGATCTCGACGAGAAAATAACCTGAGGCGAGGTTTGACCTTCGTAGGTCAACTAGGAACTAAGTTAGAGGCGATCAAACTCAGAGGTCGAGAATAGGAAAGTAGGTCAAATCTGGTATTAATCGATAGAGGAGATCGAGAAGATCAAGAAAAACCAGATCTCTAAGTTCCTGACCTTCTAGAAATCGAGTTATGAATTTTCAAAGTGTCAAAAATGACCCACTTTGAAAGGTTTTATCTTTTTTCTGGGAAGAGAGAAAACTCTTCCGCTATATATTTATAAACTAAGCGAGTTATCTTAAGTTGAGCCGCTGTAATTTTTCACAAAAATCGATTTTGATGATACGAAAATTCGAGCTTCTGGTTGAAGCTTAACGGATTTATAACTTATATCATTGTAAAGCTGACAACGAGACGAATCGAATGATATAGATTGATAAGCTGTAGCTGCTCTGGGAGCCGAGATATAAGCGTTTGTCGGCTTATAACTCGATGTGGTGATAAGATATTAAAAATTGAAAAAAAATCATCAGATTTGTTTCAAAAATGCTCTTTTGATCGATTATCTTTTTAATTTGTTCGTCAAAGAAACTGAGATGTAAGCTTCGAAATTCTATGACGTCATTCAGGTTGATCGAAACTCTTGAAGCCTCATATCATTCGAAAGCTGACAATGAGACAAATCGATTAATATACTCAGTTCTTTTGTATCTTTCAATTGAGCAAAGTTATGGAGCTTCAAAGTCTGGAAAAAATACTTTTTCGGGCCCGTTTTTCACTCGATTTTTGAGCTTTTTCCTTCAATCTGATATGATAACACTACTATATAGAAGCTGCTCTATCGATTACACTAGAAAAATCTTGAAAAAAACTAACTTTTTTTTGAGCTTCTGCTTTTTCGCTAGAAAAGTACACCGCGGTGCAGCCCACCAAATGCATTTTATCTGACGCCTATCGGAGTTTTAATAGTGAACTTCAAACGCCTATATCTCGGCTTTCAGAGCAGCTACAGCTTTTCTTGTTATATCAATCGATTCGTCTCATCGTAAGCTTTCCAATGATTTAGATCATTATAAGATTGAGCTTCATCCAGAAGCTTCAGACTTTCCTCATCTTACAACTCGTTGATTTGATGAGTTATCAGGGATTGAGATATATCATTGGATTCGTCTCGAGAAGTTCTATCGATTGATAATGATATCAGCTTGTACAAAGGAGAAGCTGAGATGTAAGCTTCGAGATTCTATGACATCCTCCAAGTTGATTGAAGCTTCTCCTTTTGAAGTCTCTAACAAGCAATAATGAGAAAAAGAACCTTCATTGAAAATAAACGAGAAATGAAGAATATTTGCGTAAAAAAAACAACAGGAGCACCGAGCAAGCAACATGAAATTCAGATTTTTACAGAAACATACGATAAATTCCTCATTTGAGCAGAGCACCCATGCGATTGAAAATAAAAGGGGAAAAGCCTCGGAAATTGAGAAAAAGTCTCAAAACTTTTGACATTGAAAAATGAGAAAGTTCGTTCAAAGAGGCCAAGAAGGCTAATCTCAAAAAAATCAGCTTTTTTCCCAGTTCAAAAAGACAACAGAATGAGGTATTATGACAATATTAGAATCTCTGGATCAACTTTGTTGTCATTAAAAATTGGGTGGCGAAATAAGTTAACTACTCAAATGTACACGTGTTGATAGTTGGGGGAAGGGGATGGTTGACTTGAAGTCAAAAGTTCCAGGATTATTGCAGAAACATCTCTATACAAAGTTATCGACTCAAAGTAGGAATGGGTCCGGTACGCGACGACGGACTTCGGATGACCGGCATCGTCGGCGCATAAACGCGCTGAAATTCATCATTATTGCTCAGGTTGGCTCAGAATCGCTGCTGATGACCTGTGAATCGTGTTCGCTTTGCGATCGTCGTACCTTGCCCTTCTTTCGCATCACCGTGTGGAAGATGGGAGCCTGAATGAAGATAGTTTACGAAAGTTAGGGTCGAAAAAATGGCTTCTCTAGGGGTAAAATTGAGGTGGTCCCTATAGGTGTTTAAAGTCTGACTCCTTAGCCCCTAAAGCTCAAGAGGACCCTATAGGGGTCTTCAATTTAAATTAAAAAACGTTTATTTATTCAGTTTTTCTCATCCTTCTTCGCTTAGAGTTCATAAGGATTCTTGAACAGCATTTCCCCTATAGGGACCACTTTTTAAAGCTACAGTGGTCCCCATACGAGTTCGTAAAGTGGTCCCTAGAGCGGAAGGCCCCTCCAAGGACCTTTAAGGTTGCCCCTGTACAATAAACAATTAGCATGTCCCCTATAGGGGCCACTTTTGGAAGCTTTAGTGGTCCCTAAAGGGCGAGGTTAAGTGGTCCCTAGAGGCGACCCTCCAAAGGCCCCTAAGGTTGCTTCTGTAAAATGAACAACAAGCATTTCCCCTATAGGGACCGCTTTTGCAAGCTTAAAGGAGGAGGTTGAGTGATCCCTAGAGCGGAAGGCCCCTAAAGGTTGCCCCTGTACAGTAAACAACTAGCATGTCCCCTGTAGGGGCCACTTTCGCAAGCTTTAGTGGTCCCTAGAGCGGAAGGCCCCTAAATTTGTCCCTATAGGGACCACTTCCTCAAGTTTAACTTAGAACTTCCGTTATATTAAAGGCGCATACTCAAAAACACTCCGCGCGTCTCGTGACAAGCTGGCGCGGAATGGACTATACTATAGTCTATACTCATACCTGCTCATCAGTATAAGATCCACTGGAAGACTGAGCCAAAGGAGCCGCGGACTGGGTCGCAGTCCTTCTAGAAGACGCGTAGGTCGACGACGACGAGGATCCCGTCGTCGATCGGTTAGAAGACGTCGACGAGGCGGGGGAGACTGCCCTCGGCACTTCGTCGTCTGAATCTTCTTCTTGTTCTCTCGATACTTCTTCAAAAAGGTGGACCTTTCTCGAAGAGCTCCAAGTGGTTGGGATGTTGCTGCTCACGCTTGAACTCCACGACGACAGGTTCATAGGATAGGAGGATGTAGATCTTCGGCCCGAACAGGAAGCCGAGAAGAACCGTCGCGCAGATGATCAGCTCGCAAACGACGACCGTTTCTCTGGAAATTTTGTGGAATGCGAAAATTTCTCCGTAAACCTGGTAACGCGAAACGGACGTGCTCCTTTCTGGGCGATTCTAGTGATCACTTAAGAGTTCTGAGGCTACTAAAGTGGTCACTAGAAATGCCCCGACACGTCCGATTCGCGTTAGCAAGGCTCGAGTACATAAAACTCTGAGTAGTGCGCTCTATCGCACAACCTTATTGGGAAAATTTCAAGTGGTCACTTAAGAGGCTCATTAAGGACTACTTGGAGAGGGCTCTGAAGTGGCAACTTTTTTCCGTTGTGTACACAATTTTTAGTGGTTAAGTAATACCACTTGGACCTCCAAAGTGACCACTATTTTGACTACTAAAGTGACCACTAAACCACCTTTTTGAAGACCACTATTTTCCGCCGTGGACACTAAATTTTCTAGTGGTCTAGTAGTACCACTGGGACCTCTGAAGTGAACACTATTTTAACCACTATAGTGACCACCGAAACTTCAAAACCCTAAAGTGGCTACTAATCATTTCCCCACTTTTACTGGTCTAACTCAAACATTTTCAGTTCACAATCTTATCGATCATCTATTGATCTTGCCAAAAATCACCTATAATCATGATCGATCATCAAATAGAGCGTGACCCAAGCGACCCAAACGGCGAAACAAATCGCCGTGGCGTAGAGCAGCCACTTGGTCTCCTTGTAATTCCGCTTGATGTTCCTATTCAGCGTGTTCAGGAACAGAGCCATGAAGATCAGGATCATCACGTAACTGTTGGAGAGCACGAATTCGACCCTGAACTCATAATTTTTCTTTTCTTGTGGAAAAAAAATGTTCGCACTTTCCCAACGTGCACATCATGTGCTGAGAGCTGGTATCAACTACGCCAATTGTCGACATGAACGGCTCCATGATCCATCTGAAAATCAGTTTTCTGAAATCATTGAAACCTTGAAAAATCGATAGGAAGTCGAAAAACGGGAAAATTTTCAGTGGCCCCTTAAGGGTTTTTTTCATTTTTGTGGCCGCAATAACAGTCAAATTAGTGATCACTTAAGTGACCTCTTTAGCAGGCTGAGTGGTACTACTGGGTCACTAAAAAGTGCTACAGTTGCCATTAAGACGCAAAAACGTGGGGAAAAACTTGAGTGGCACCTTTAGGGTTTTCAAATGGCCCCGATAGCAGTTAATTTAGCGATCACTTAAGTGACCTCTTTAGGAGCCTAAGTAGTCCTACTGAACCACTAAAAAAAATTAGTACAACGAAAAAAATCGGGGGGAATAATTTGAGTGGCCCCTTCAGGGTTTCGGAATTTTAATACCACAAGAGCGGTCAAATAAGGGACCACTTAAGGGACTAAAATTCAGTGGCCTCTTAGGGAGCCTAAATGATACTGCCACTGAAGACTATTATAGTGACCACTGTCACGCAAATTAGTGCCTTCCATGGAGGTCAGTGGCCACTTCAGTGTCCTCTCCTAGTAGTTCTTATGGAACCTCTTAAGTGGTCACTAGAATTTTTCTCAATAAGCTTTGAGTTTAATAGTTTCAAAAATCATAGAAGCGTTCATGAAAAGGTAGCAAAAGTCACTGAAAAACTTCAAAATTTAAATTCTCCATTTTTTATTTCAGCGCTTCAAGTGAGTTATTGGTTAATGAATCATTTTTGAAACCTCGAAAATTGCCTTAAAAATATATGTATAAGACAGGGAAATCACCTAAACTGGCTTACGTGGCAAAAAAAGAACAACGTTTTTGATATTTTTTCATCTCTAGAACCATCTTTCCACCATATGTGACACAAAAAGACACCTATTGGACAAGGCGATCTGAACGCCGACGATGAAGAACAACAGCTGCCAATAGTTCCAGAAGGAGATGTGGACCGAGGTGCCGAAACCGAGGGTTTCCGCGTTCCTCAGCTGGGTCGCCTTGGCGATCATGACGCCGAAGCAGATCGCGTAGCCCAGGCCGTGGAGGACAACTCTCGCGCGGCAAACCTAACAATTATCTTCTTTTTCATTTCCCAGAAGACAAAGAACCATATCAGTTGCATCGAAAACGAAGAAAAATGCGGTGATGTACAAGAGGATTATTCCGACGAGGAGGGAAATCCCCAGGGATTGATTGCCCTTGACGACGCGGGTGTACAGCTTGACGAGCACTGAAAAAAAATTATTTATTGTAGAATTTTTCGGAGCCCCTAAAGAGACCACTTTTGCAAGTTTTAGTGGCCCCTATAGGGGTTGGCAAAGTGGTCCCTAGATTGGACCTTCCAAGGACCCCTATAATGACCACTCTGGAGTTCCTAAGTCGGTAATGGAAATTGAACGCGCTCCGGATTTTCCCCCAGTAATTTAAGTGAACACTCATGAGTTCTAGGGCTTCTAAAGCTGCTCTGTACGTTTCTGAGCACTTCAAGTAGTCTCTTAAGAGTTCTAAGGCTTCTAAAGCTGCTCTGTACGTTTCTGAGAATTTCAAGTAGTCCCTTGAGAGTTCTAGGGCTTCTAAAGCTGCTCTGTACGTTTCTGAGCACTTCAAGTAGTCTCTTAAGAGTTCTAAGGCTTCTAAAGCTGCTCTGTACGTTTCTGAGAATTTCAAGTAGTCCCTTGAGAGTTCTAGGGCTTCTAAAGCTGCTCTGTACGTTTCTGAGCATTTCAAGTAGTCCCTTGGGAGTTCTAGGGCTTCTAAAGCTGCTCTGTACGTTTCTGAGAATTTCAAGTAGTCCCTTGAGAGTTCTAGGGCTTCTAAAGCTGCTCTGTACGTTTATGAGCATTTCAAGTAGCCCCTTTAGAGCTCTAGGGCTTCTAAAGCTGCTATGTACTTTTCTGAGCATTTTAAGTAATCACTTAAGGGTTCTGACGCCACTAAAGCCACTCTGTTCTTTTCTGAGCATTCTAGGCTTCAAGTTACCTCTTAAGGGTACTCGCGTCACTAAATTCGCCCTGGATGTTTTCGAGCGATTCAAGCAATCACTTAAGAGTTCTATGGCTTCTAAAGCTGCCCTGTACGTTTCTGAGCATTTCAAGTGGTCACTTAAGAGTTCTGACGCCGTCAAGACGTTTCTGAGCATTGACCACTTAAGAAGTTTGACGCTTTTAAAACCGCTCTGTACGTCTCTGAGCATTTCAAGTGGTAACTTAAAAGTTCTAGGGCTTCTAAAGCTGCCCTGTACGTTTCAGAGCATTTAAAAAAAATCGTTCGAAAGTTTTGACGCTTTTAGCGTTTCCGAGCATTTCAAGTAACCACTTAAGGGCCGCTACGGAGGTTCTCCAGCTTTTTAAGCGATCACTTAAGGGTTTTGAAGCTACTAAAGCCTCTCTGTAGGTTTCTGAGCATTTGTAACCACTTAAGAGTTCTGACGCCGCTTAAAGAATCACTAGAAGTACGTGGCTCGTCTGGTTTGCGCTACTGAGGTCCGAGTTCACAATACGATTTTCAGAAAAAAAAGCTCAAAATTTGGATTGAACATCGCTTCAAACATGTAGCCCACATACACGTGGAAAATTTCCGAACTTTCCCATTCATTTTATCTTTTTCATTTTCATTATCATTCGATCTCTTTTTTCTCCTTCTCACCCAAAAGAAGCACGGCCACCGCGATAACGACCATAATTGTCGTCAAGGCCAACAGAGCGTAGTTATGGGGGTTTTCACGCCATTTTCCCATCGTCAAGTGCTCCAGAATCTGAAAAATCCGGCATTTTTTTGATTACTTCAAAGCTAGAAGGTTCAAACCGAGGTATAGGCAACCCGTTCGGAACCATAGGCCGGCTGTCTTTTGATATAAGAAGAAGTCGAGGCGTCGGCTCCAAGTTCATCGGCCACAAAAACGAACGAATCCAGAGGTCTCTGAAAAATAAGGGAACTTTTCTATAGTTAATTTAAGACCGGAGATTTATATTTAAAGCTGGAAAACTTTAGAAAAAAATTTTTAAAAAAATCGAAAAAAATCCAATCAAACTTGGCCATAAAAAAATAAAAAAAATTCTGATTTTCAGATAAATTCCGATTTTTTTCACTTTTTTTCACGTTTTTTTCTAAAAATAAAGCAAAAAAATGGTTCGATTTCAAAAAAATTATGGTCCACAAGACAGAAAAAAAGGTCTAAGAAAAAGGAAAGCTGAAAAATTTTTCTCAAAAAAATAAAATTCGCAGTTTTTTTATCACTGGAGCGCACTTTACGCTACACACGTTGATTTTTCAAAGTTAAATAAGTTATTTCCAGCTGTTAATTGTTGGATCTACAGTTAAAACGGCGGATTTGAAAAACTATTCAAAATAAAGATTGAAATGATTATTATCTCATTTCTACCACCCGAGTGGTCGGTCTTCATTTCCGCTCTCGTCTGAGATTTAATCCGACGCCCGTCAGCCCTGGACAAGCTGGGCGCTGTACTGTTCCTACATGGAGAAGCAGTGATCGTCGGAAACGCTCGAAAGCCGTCTACTACTAGCACAAGAGAGGCGAGATGCTCTACGCGCCGTCTACGCTTGATCAACAACAGTTTCGCGAACCGACGAACAACTCTTCAATTATTCCATGATTCAGCAGAGAACCTACTCTGAAGACTGAATAAAGTTTCAAAAGTTTCAAAGATTTTTGGAAGAACTCCTCTTTTATGTTCAAGTGCGCTCCATTGATAAACTCATTTTTCCACATCTCCATGGTTTCTACCTGCAGGAAATCGCCGTCCAGGAAGCATTTGCACATCGGCGGCTGACATTTCGATTCGACGGGAGCTCCACTGGGACTGCGGTAAATACCATTCATTCTCAAGCCAGAAGACAGGGTCCAGTTGGCGATCGGATGGTAGGAGAGGCGTCCTGGAACATTTTTCTTTAATTCTCGCTGTAGTCTTTTAAATTTCAACCAATGGAACTTGGACTTTTTCAAGGCTTCTTTTCGTTTAAAAATGGCTTAGTTTTAAAGAAACTGGGAAAAAATCTAGTGGCCACTACTTGGAAAGTACACAACCCGCATTTTTTGGTTCCCGGGCCATGTCGGAATGGTGAATAATGGCCGCTAAAAGGAAGAGGCTCAAAAAAGGCCGCAAAAAGGTCGAAGAAAGGCAGCAAAAAGGTCGCATAAAGGCTCAAAAAAAAAGGTCGCATAAAGGCTCAAAAAAAAGGACGCAGAAAGGTCACGAAAAGGCAGCAAAAAGGTCGCATAAAGGCTCAAAAAAAGCCACAGAAAGGCCGCAAAAAGGCAACAAAAAGGCAGCAAAAAGGTCGCAGAAAGGCTCAAAAAAGGCCGCAAAAAGGGAGCAGAAAAGCTCAAAAAATGGCCCAAAAAGGCAGCAAAAAAGGCCTTTTTCGACCCACCATTGACATCGGGCATGTACTCGTAGATCTCGACGTCGTCTTCAATCGAAGTCTTCTTGAGCTGATTCAGGATCTGTTTCCTTCCTTGTTCGTAGAATTCGAGGCAGAGTCCATTCTGAGCCGGGCAGAGCTTCTTGTAGACATAGTCCATGGCGAAGAGGAATCTCTCGACGCCACGAGCCAGGTATCCGGATTTGGTCATTCTACCTGGAAAAAATTCCGTTCAGGATTAATTTTTCTTTTTCGGACCTAGGGTCCGGACATCGAGGAGTTCATCTCCGGTGCACATTTTGCCGTAGGTCAGCTTGCTTTTCTGGCTCAACGCGCAGCCCCACCGATCTTCGATGTAGGACCAGTACCAAAGTTCGGGAAGGGTCAAGGGGGTCGTCGTTTCCATCCATTCGCGGAAATCGTTGTAGATGATGTCCTGGGATTTTATTTTTTGGTTTTTTTTTTTGAAGGTTCCGAGATAAAATGAAGCGCATTTTTCAAGAATCAGAGTAGTTTCATTTTTCAAGGATCAGAGCAAGTTCAGGAGATTATAGCTTGTTCATATTTCGAATGTCAAGTACAATGACGTCATTCGAAAACGCTCTGTGGATGGCTCGCTCTCTGATTGGCTTATCGGGCCATTAGGGGCGGAGCTTTAGAAGCGACTTTACATTCAAAATCTGAACAGACTATATTTTCCAGCCTCCGATTGAAATTTCAATAGAACTTCTCTGTAATATACTTTGAGACCTCCTGTTTCCAAAAAAAGGGAAAAATCTTGAATTTTCCCTCATAGTCCAATGACAATGCTTCAAAAATTAAAAAGCTCAAAAAAATTAAGATAGAAAGCTGAAAAAGCTTAAAACCCTTATATAGTCGATTCAAGATCATTTTAAGACGCAAGGGGGCGTGGCCTGTCTGCGCCCTCCACCAACCAGGCACTGTCTCTTTTCTTATCGTGTCAGGACCCTTTTTTCGTTGACTTTCTTTTTTCAGCTAACTTTTTGCGAATTGTGGTTTTTTTTTTGATTTTTTAAGCATTTTTCTCTTCCGGAAATGGTTCCAAAACGTGTTGGTGACAGTAAAAATTGAATTTTTGAAGCTTTTTTTGAAATTTCTGTGAAGAAGTGCACAGATTATAAATTTCGAAGAACTTGAAAAAAGTTAAGAGACTATAAATTCACATTTTCCCAGCTATACTCAAGAATTGCGTCCAGGACGTTCAGGAAAATGAAAAAAAAAAATCAAAAAATTCCCCATTTTTCTTTTGAAAATTCACTCAAGCTCGTTTTGAAAATAACTCTTATCTTGTCTCTTTTTGAATTTTTTCTTGATTTTTTTCCCATCACTAACCCGAGGCTGTACAGAAACCGTTCCGGTGAAGCTCTCCTTGCTGCTCGGCTCATAGAGGTACCTAAACCAAAAAATTATCAGAATAAGTTCATTTTTCTCCCTACCAATCGTGAGAATCGCCCATCATGACATGGACAACATTCCTGGTGGATCTTTTAGCCAGTGACAAATAATTGGCCGCGTCTCTCGCCGTCGCAAAAACCACAGTGACGTTGGTCGTGGTACCGATGGGCAGATTTTCGACTCGGCTGCCAATATTGACGACCTAGAAATTCCAGGTTGCTCCAAAACACTGAAGTTCAAAAAGATCCACTAAAGAGTTCGAACTGGAAGAGCTGGTCCAGCTCCAACTTCCTCTCTAGGCTCATCTAGTTCAAGGGTAGGTCCAGGGGAATCGGTTCAGGCTCAATTTTTGCGAAAATCGTCGACCTTACTCAAAATTTGAGATCCAAAATGATCTATAGTCCGTCCAACGCGACTTCGTCTCTGCGTCTCTCTGTTCCCTCAGGTCAGAGAAACATGAAAATAGCACGAGAGACGAGGAGGGCGCAGAGAAGTGTCGCACTTTCAAATTGTGAAAAACGGACTAAACTTTACTCTAGATGGACTTTCACTGCACAAATTCTATGCAAAACTCGCTGGAAAGTGTTTCAGACCCATAAATTCAGGTCTTAGCTTGAACTGGACCTCTTTCAAGTTCAACTTGTTCGAAAAATTCCAGCATTGAAAGCTTTTCCAACTTTATAAAGTGTCCCTACTCAAGGATTAGAAAAAAAAAATCCAGAAAGGGAATAGCGATTCTGTAACAATCTGACATGAGCTATAGGATATCCATCTTCCAAAAAATCATAAAAAGAAGCTTCCAAGTCAAGTTATTCGATAGTTATCTTCCTCAACTCTGATTTTTTCACAATAAGAGCTTTTAGAAAGTGAACGAGTTGCTCCAGCTCAAAAATTAAATATATATATACAATCGAGATGTTCTGTCTCCTCCCCCATTGTTCAACCTCGAACTTGAACTACCAGGCAGAGATAGTTCAGCGGCACTACTCCCAAAATCTCACCTCAGCCAGGCAAACTCCTCGATCCAGCGCCAGGCGCTCAAAACTGCGGAACAAGCCAAGAGATTCGGGATCCTGTTCGCTCAAGGCGACCGTCACGAACTGCCAATGCATCCTGGTCAAGAATCGGAGCAGAGCCAGGGCTTGACTTCTTCCAGAAGGCAGGGCGGTGAAAGCGCGATGGAGCGCAGAATGTTCGGCATCAACGGAGACGAGGGCTGCGTCGGTGTCACCCGACGAGAAGTAGCCCTAAAATTGAGGTGTTTTCAGTAAATTCTGATAAATCTTCTACCTTCAGAGCTTCCTGGGAGTCTCCGTGGAGCGCAGAAGCATACCCTGTAATTCAAAAAGTTAGAAAATCGAAACGAAAATGATTTTAGAGTGACCATGCTTCCAATGAAGCTGTAGAAACTCAACAACAATTTTTCAAACATGTTTCAGAAAGTTTCAAAACGACTTTGCATGCTTCTATGATGCTCCTCCGTCCAAAAACAAGCATTTTTCAAATCCCAATATTCACCAAAGACAGATCCGGGCACGATGGTGATGTTCCTGCCGGCCTGGTTGAACCGGAAACATTGAGTTTCTGACCGGACCACCGATTCGATGGCTTCTCGTCCCGAGGAGCAACTGTCGACCAACAGGGCGCCAAAGTCAAGGTTCTTGAGGAGTTCCAACTGGGGGAATCGCTGCTTGAAGGTCCACACCGTGTGGACGAAGGCCATTGGGAGGCTGATGTCCGTGTTTTTCATCGATTTGCAGCTCCCACCGGAGTGGAGGTCGAAGAGGCCGACCAGGTAGATCGGATAGTGCCGTGGGATCGACAGGAAGTGGCGCTGAAAAATTTGAAATTTAAACATTTTCAACTTTTTTCCTCAAAGTTTCCGCTCAAATTTTCACTTAAAATTACCTCAGAAAAGACCTAAAACTTTATAAATTTCAAAAAAAACTTCCATTTCTATAAAAAAGGCATTTTCTTCAAAGTTCACCTCAGAGTTGACATTCTGAAGATTGGGACATTGCCCACAGAAAGGTCGATACGGAGCGCAGATGGATCGCATCCGCTGGTCGGCCGACCTCAGCGATGACGTCACGACGGTGGGCGGAGCTCCGGTGGTGAAAGACAGCAGGCGTACGGTAACTGGCGAGCCGTTTTCGTTGTAGATCTCCAAGGCTTCCACGGTCATTCCGGACGCCAATAGGGTCGTGTCGCTTCCTGAGAGAAGTTTCAAAGAATTATTCCTGTTTCAGGGCCATTCAGGTACCTTTGTAGAACTGTAAACGTTCGCCGATGAATTCTGGCGGGTCGTTGAGCCCGAATTCGTAGTCTGTCGAGAGCAGGGTGTTCATGATGAGTCGTGTGCATTCTGCGCTCGGATGAGAACTGAAAATTCGACTTCTATCATCAGATCATTTTTGCTGTCTTTTTCACAGTTGCAAAGTGCAAAAAATCGGTGTTTTCTATTGAAAATAGTCTCGCGTGGAAGATTTTCTTCTATACTTTTTCTCTCAATATTTTACCAAATTTTCTCGTTCAACGAGCTACTTCCGATCGTCGACGCAACCGCGGCAAACGCATAAGTCATTCGGATAACAGCTTCCGTTGTCCTCGACTAAAACATTTTTGAATTTAAAAATATTCCCTGTCATACCTGAACATAGCTCTCCAACATTGCATTCTTATCGAGTTCACATGAAGTTTCCGTGCAATTAAACACTTGTTGAACGTATGACGTCAACAGTTGATAGTTTTGATAATTGTTTTTCAGGACGCGGATGAAATAATCGCGGAATTGGGGCAGCTCCTTGTATTTCGGTTGCAGAGATATTATCTGAAAATTGAATGATTTTCAAAGTCCAATATTGAAATCAACCTCAAGTTTCGCTTCTTTGTGAAGTATCAGGCTTTGCTCGACGTTGTCAAGAGCTTCGCCCTGAAAAAATAAATTAATGATTTCAAAAATATTATTTTTAAAATTGAAAATATTCTATTTTGTGTTTGCTCAAACTCTTTGAGAGCTGCATTTTGGTCTGCTTAACTCTTTGTGGGCTGCATTTTGGTCTGCTTGAATTTTGAGAGCTGAATTTGGGCCTGCTTAGCTTCCGTAACTTCAATTATGCCTTCTTGAAAGTTTTGAGAGCTGCATTTTGGTCTGCTTAAATTTTGATAGCTGTATTTTGGTCTGCTTAGCTTCTGGAACTTTAATTTTTTTCCTCTTGAAATTTTTGAGGGCTGCAATTTGGTCTGCTTAACTTTTTGAGGGCTGCATTTTGGTCTGCTCAACTCTTTGATGGCTGCATTTTGGTCTGCTCAACTCTTTGATGGCTGCATTTTGGTCTGCTTAAATTTTGAGAGCTGCATTTTGGTCTGCCTAAAGTTTTTGAGAGCTGCATTTTGGTCTGCTTAACTCTTTTAGGGCTGCATTTTGGTCTGCTTAACTTTTTGAGGGCTGCATGCTTAGCTCTTTGAGGGCTGCATTTTGGTCTGCTTAGCTCTTTGAGGGCTGCATTTTGGTCTGCTCAACTCTTTGATGGCTGCATTTTGGTCTGCTTAAATTTTGAGAGCTGCATTTTGGTCTGCTTAAAGTTTTTGAGAGCTGCATTTTGGTCTGCTTAACTCTTTTAGGGCTGCATTTTGGTCTGCTTAAATTTTGAGAGCTGCATTTTGGTCTGCTTAGCTTTTGTTACTTCAATTTTTCTTGAAATTTTTTGAGGGCTGCTTTTTATCCGCACCTCTTCCAAACACGATTTTAAGAAAATTCCTAATAAAAACCTCGGTCGGAATGGAGATCCAAAGTTTCTCCATGCTGTAAATCGACGGGTGTCGAACCGTTCCCATCAGCTGGAAATGTTTATTTTTTTCGAATTAATGTTTTTCTATTTATGATACCTGCTTCTTGTTGAGGACGCTGACAACAATGGCCGAGTCGCTGTCGTCGAGTGCCTGCGCCAGGAAGGGATGATCGATTGGAACCGTTTCCGAGACGTAGATCTCCGCCTCGCGCAGTTGCTCAATCACTCTGAAAAAGATCAGAAATATCCTCAAAATAGTAAATTATGGATTAAATGGCGTATCTAAAATTTATATTTTTTCCAATAACCTGAAGCATTGAGAGAAATTAAGATGAAGTTTTGATAAAAATGCCGGAAAAATGCCATTTTCTCTGTTTTTCACACCTTTTGACGATGGGAGACTTGCTGCCGTCATCAACCACCGTGACCAGATTCGACTGGAGCTGTCCCATCAACCTACAAATTCAAAAACCGATAATCTATATTTTTCTTCTTCCCGAACCGAATCAAAGCCTCGACATAGACCCCGATCGTCGGCGCTGTGGCGATAGTATTGGCCACTTTGAGTTCAGTCATAGCATTGACAGAAGCTGAAGAATAGGCGGCAACAGGAATGGTTGAAACCGTCAGGAATGTGCCAAGCGACATCGAGGAGGCGTAGTCTTTCGGGGCGATCAGGCCTTCAAATTATTATATTTTTTATTTTTCTCATTTTTTGTAAACCAAGAAGTTTGGCGCCTGGAGTTTCGGTGCGGCATTCCTTCGGCTCGTGGTAGCCAACCGAGTCGAGAAACCTCAAAGACTGGGACAACGATTCCGGTGAGCGGGAGCAGGTGTCGCCAGCGTAGAGTCCTGCAAAAAAATATTTGAAACATGAAAAAAATTAGGTACCTGTACAAAATCCTTTTTTTCAGCACTCGATTCCTTTACAAAAAAACCTTCTTAGTGAACTTTTTGAGCAATTAAAATTGAAAATGGTACATCAATTTAAAAAAATGAAAAAAATAGCTAAAAAAAGTTGATGCTGCGCTCAAATTGAGATTTTGAAATTCACTTCTTATTAGTTTAAAATAATTACGCAAAGTACGTAAAATTGGAATCTCGCAAGTCTTGACAAAATAGGGTCCTTCAAAGAGATGGCGGCTTACTCCAAAAACCAATTATTTGGGCATTTTTATTCAAAGTTTTGAACTCGCGCGTCAAAGTCATCATCCAGGTGTAGGACCCAATTTTTCTAGCGATTTCGCGTAATTATCCTAAACAAATGAAAAATCAACTTTTAATAACTTCGAAAACTGCATAAGAAAAAAAGAAGAAAAGAAAAATGAGAAAAATGGGAAAAAAATGAGAAAAATGCGCGTAAAATGAACTACTAGGAGTTGCATACACGACAGAATGCGTACTTTCAAGCTACAGTAATTTTTTTTTTCAAAAATTTGTTTTCCATCATTTTTTGAAGTAAGTTTTCCGATTCTTCATCTGTACTCCGTATTTTTGTGAGTTTTTATGGTACGTTCAAAGGTTTTTTTCATAATATTTAAAAGTTAAAAAGGTCGATAATATAAAAAAAAACTGAAAATTTAATCCCCTTTGAGATTGATGTGGTCTTTTTTGGAACTTGTACAAAATCAAAGTGTGAATATAGTACATCGATCTTATCAGCCAATGAAATTTTCTCTTCCTTCTAATTCAAAGTTCCACCTACATTTGATCTTTCTATTTTCTCCCAGGTATTTCAAGTTCAACTTTTGTTTTTACTGTCGATCTTTGAGGCTCTTTTTTCAATACTGCTGATTCAAACTATCACCTACACATGAAATCTCTAGTTTTTCACCTATTTTTTGGGGTCTTATTTTGATTCCTACCAAGTTTGGCGTTGGCATTGGATGGGTTCTGGTTCCAATGAGTCAAGGCCCACTGGATCGCCACAATCTCCTGAACGGTCTCAGGTCTCAACGTCGTGCAGTCGTCCTCGTGCAGCGGGAAACTGCCGCCGATTTGGAACTGAAAAGAGGATCGTTTTTAAAATTTTCCCATAATAGGGGGGAGCTGAAAAAAGAAACTTGGGTCTGGAAGATCGCTTCTTGATTCTTGGATTCACAAAGATAAGGTACGCATTCCTCATCTTATTGGCTCAAACCGGCTTACCTGATTAATGATTTTATATTGACAGGTACAAAAAGACCACGGGCCGAATGATTATCAACCCATCCTATCAACCAAAAAAAAAACCTTGTTATTGTCGGGCAGGACTTTGAATGGATCGTAGACCGAGCAAAGGCGATCGACGACGTCGCCAGCCGGCGGTCGAAGCGTCGCGTTCAGGTTGGCGTCGACGGCGACCGCCGTCGCCATCGCCGCCGCCACAGTCACCACTGTCGCCAGCAACCTTCGCATGGCTAATACATCTTCTGAAAAGGGATAAAAATGAATTTTTACATGAAAGTTCGGACAAAAACGACGTTTGGAACGATTTATGATCTTAAGAGCTTGCTTGGAAGGTAATTGGGCAGCAAAAATGGGATGTTCATCTAAAAACGGAAACTTTTCAAGATTATAAAATGTAAAAAGAAAGATAGAAAAACCATGAGGATAGAGTTTTGGCAATTTTTGAGAATCTCTGACAGATAGGAAGCGAAAAAATGGTCGAAAAATGTAAAGTTTATGGACCGCAAGACGCCCGACCATAAAACGACTTGCGCCTTCAGGAAATACCAAGGAGAGACTCTTGAACGTAATTCAGGGCATTATATCATTAAGAAGGGTGAAAAAGTAAATGTGAAAAAAATCAATGCCTCGGTAAGGTTTTTTTCAAAAAAATTTGAAATTTGTCAGTGAAAATAAATTTATAAATGAAGATATTATATCGCGCGGCCGTTTCATAATTTTGGCCTAAAATACTTCAAAAAAATCCTTACAAAATTTTTTTAATCATAAAACCTCATGACGCCAAAACATTTTTTTTTAATTCCGCAAACTACAAAAAAATCCAGAAAATTCGGAAAAAAAAACCCGCAAAAAACCAACGTTTTTCAAGTGAAAAAGGTTCTTTTGTTGTCTTCTCTATGTTTAGATTCAACAAAGAAAGTGCAAAGAGAAAAAAATCAAGGCAAAAGAATGGTTTGAAATGAAGAAATCGAGAAAAATCTTCAAAACCTAACTTTGAAAAAAGGTTTGGATGTCTTCAAACTGTGATAAAAAGTGGAAAAAAACCGGCTGGAACAGAAAATAATGGAAAAAAAAGTTTGAGGTATCTACTGAAGTTTTAAAAAAACGTTAAAGTTCGAAGAAATAGAGAGAAGGGATTTATATTGATAAGAAGCTCTAGAACTAAAAAAACCTTTTTTTATCATAATTATATGAATTTAAAAAGAGTTCAATTTTTGATAAAAAAACAATCAGAAATATCTTCTGGAACCTCCAAAACAAGCCTTGAAAATGGTCGATTTCTCATCATGCAATGTGTCCCAACAAGGTCAAGAGCGCAATCAAAAAAGGCAGAAAAACGTCGAAAAAAAGGAAGAAGAACAAAAGCGTGTTCCGCACAGTGCCCAAGTCAGTTCTCCCTTCTAACCGTTCCCCTTTCAAAATTGGTCGACCTTGTATCCATTTAGTTTCGCGAATCCAATTCAAAAAGGCCGAGAAACAAGGCGGTTTTATCAATGGGTTAGATCAGTTTTTGGGGTCGTTTCCGATGGATTTATTCGGTTGGATAGGTAAAATTGGTGAAAAAACAACTTTTGCATGACCCAGTGCCCAAAAAATGAGAAAAGATACTGGATAACTTTACAGAAATATCGAAAATCGAAAAACTTGGAAAATCCAAAGGATACCTTCTTATTGAAAGCCTGAAGCTTGTTTCTGAAGTTCTCAAACTTCAGAAACACTTCAAGTGACCACTTGAGGGCTACTCAAGGAAGGATAAGGCTCACAGAGACTCTACAAAAATTAAAATTAAAATATTAAAAAAGCCAAAAAAAATTTTTTTTGCACAACAGTAAAGAAAACTGAAAAAAAGAAATTCAAAGATCCTTTTTTACCACTTTTTACAAAAAATTTACATGATATGCTCTTGAAAAAGCTCTTAAGAGACCACTCAAGTGCTAATAAAAATTCAGGAAATTTTTGGACTCAAAAAAAATTCAAACATCCAGCTTAAGCGGTTTCACTCAATGTTGAACAATTCGAAGGGAAGAAATCCCTCAAGTGTCCACTCAAGCACCGAAAATTCCGAAAGTACAAATAAAGGAATAAGAAAAGGGAATGACCAATGCACACACACTCCCCCGCCGAGCCATGTGTGCAATCGTTAGCCAGCGCGTCGTCAGTGGCCGGATGGTCTAGGGGTATGATTCTCGCTTCGGGTGCGAGAGGTCCCGGGTTCGACTCCCGGTTCGGCCCAAATCCTTTTGCCGTTTCAATTTTCTACTTTTTTCTTTTTGAAGCGCAAAGGGACAACGGTTCTAGAGAAGCGGACTGGTTGAAGAACACGTTTTATTTTTGTTATGCGCAGAGAGAGGAGGACGGCTTTTTGGTTTTGCAACAACACAGAATCGTGGCAAAGTGAAAAGCTTTGGTAATTTTGTGCTTATCCCCTGCGGCGACGTTTCCGTCGAAATTTGACTTTGAAATTGAGAAAAACAGGAAGTTTTGAGCGGGAGAAAAATGAGGAAAGGGGAAAGAAATGGATGTTTGAAAGGAAAACTGAAAGCAGTTCAAATGAAAAATTTCATGACGAAAAAAAAATTGGAAAAAAAGTCTGAGATTTAAATAGCTGAACACATGGGATAATAAACATGAAAGTTCAAAAAAACGTAAAAAAAGTGGAAAATTTCGGAAAATATTGTTGCAAAAGTTCGAAAAAAAGGCTCAAAACTCTGAACTTTCAAAAATTTTTTTCGATAAAACCTTCCCATTAAAAAAATCACCAAAAAAACCTTCAAAAAGCTTCTTTTTATCAAAATTTGAAATGAAAATACAATTTTGATAACTTATCACAGTCAAAAAAGGCTGAAAATCTCAAAAATCCCAATAAAAACCACCAAAAATCATTATTTTTCAGGAAAAAAAAATCCAAACAAGGAAAGAATAATAAAACGCACAATGATACGTCCGATTTGTCATGACAATGGCGTCAAAGAATAAATTTTCGGCCATCAGAAAGGCGAAAAAAACGAGTTTTTGTTCTCAGCTTTTCCTCACAGAGACGATGAAGCTGCTGAACAACTTCATTATAACTTATTTCCGAAGTTTTGTGAAAAATTATCCCTCTGGGATCATTTTCAGTGCAGTGAAAGCCCAAAAATGGCGAGAATCTGTTGAAAATTGAGAGAAAAAGCTGGATTTTTGGGTTGATTCCACTGAATTTTCTGAAATTTTTTTCCAAATTTTTTTCTTCTTCTTTCTGAAAGTCAAGTCTTCTATTAACTTTATCGAAAAAGCAACTTTTTCTCATTTTTTTTCCGCTCCGACTCAATCAAAATGCTAACTCAACGTGACATGTTTATGACCTTTCAATTTGATTTTTCTATCAAGTAACTGACAGTTTCTTAAGACTGATTTGAAATCAAATCTCCAATTTAAGTTGAAATTTAAAGATCCAAAAAATTCTAGACAGTTTTGTCAGCTGATATCATGATACAGTGGCCGAAAAATCAAGAAAAAAAAACTGAAAAAAGAGGGAAAGATAAGGACAAAGTAGAACAACCAGAAATCATCAAAAAGTTCTGGAAGAATTCACAAAATGATCAAAAATTCTACGTAAAAAGTCCCAAAACCTATTTTTTTTCAAAGCTTTTTCTTCACATTCAAAAATGTCCCTCTACCGTTTTTCAGGCCTAAAAATCCCTTGAAGAAATTTTTAAAAAAATCTGAAAATCACTCAAAATCCGAGAAAATCGCGTCCAGTCCATGAAAATGACAAAAAAAAAAAAAATCAAACACCTTATTTTCTTCGAAAAATTTCAGTTTCTATGCCCTTTCCAGATCGAAAAACGACTCGATCCAGCTTGATCCACTTGATCCAGGAAAACTTGATCCAGGAAAAAAAAAATTAAAATTCAGGAAAATCCAAGGAAACCGCCCACAGTTCCATTAAATGACAAGTAGGGGTACCAAAAAAGTCTAGAACCAAATATTTTCTAATCCTCCGTCTGCTCCAACTTTTCCAGGTCTGAAAATGACTCGAACAAGTTTCAAAAGAGAAGAAAATCACTAAAAATCCCAGAAAATAGCCTAAAGTTGATAAAATGACAACAAGAAAAGAGACCAAAAAGCGTAGAACTTACATTTTTCAAACTTTGCGGAATTTTCAAGTCCTACACCTTTTCCAAGTTAATACATGACTGTAACAGACTACAATAATCAGAAAATACACAAAAAAATCCAGGAATGATAGAATAAAGTTGATAAAATGACAAGAAAAAACCAAAAAATTTTTTTAAACTTTGAGTTCCAGAAAAACAGTTGATCCTGACTGTAACAGACTACAAAAATCAGAAATCATCACCAAAAAAATCCAGGAGTAATAGCCGAAAGTTGATAAAATGACAAGGAAGACGGTCTCGGTGTGGTTTCTGTCAACAACACCGACTGTAAATTACAACGCAACTTTTTTTTTTCCGTTTCCCTTTTGCAACTTCGAAAGAAGGAGAGAAAGAAGAAGAAGAATGGTATTGGGACAAAGGAGGAAAAGAAAATTACAGCGGGAGAGAAAAAAAAAAGAGAGAGAAGCTTCGCTTTTTAATAAGCATATCATGGGAGTTTACGGTTCATTAATTGCTTTTTGGTGTAAATATTTATTTTTTTTAAAACTTCAGATTCATTTTGAAGACTTGAAAATTCAAAAGGTGCCCTTCTAAATGAAAAGCGATTCTTAAAAATGGTAAAAAAAAATTTTCTCGACCTCAACTCGAATTGTTTGAAACTACGTGGCCGCATTTGGAATGGCTCAAAGGGCTGCGGTTCGAGCCAACAGGTTTCCTTAACCCATTAAGGCGTAAACCGTTTCAGGTCGGATGCAGTTTAAGAAATTCTCTATCCAGCCATTATGCGCCCAGTTACGCTAGATTAAGATGAATTGAGTTGAAAAGCAAAAAAAAAATCAGAAACGTAAATTTTTTTGACTTCAAGCAAGCCTTCAGAAACTTGAAAACACTTCAAAAAAACGAAAAAAAGTTGGAAAAAAATTCAAAAAAATTAACTTTTTGAAAATCCTGCTTGTTTTCGTGGAGAGAATATCATCTCAAACGAGATCAGAAAGCGTCCGACCGCATTTGGAATGGCTCAACGCGTTGCGGTCGCGCTGCGGTTCGTCAAAATTCTGAAATTCATATCAAAAGCCAAAGGAAAGCCGCTAGGATGAATGAATCTCAATGCAAACTAGATTAGAAAGCATC